AAATGTTAATTATTGTAATATTTTAATATTTAATAAGAATTATTGTGATTAGACGGACAAGATTTAATATATACTTATTATATCACAATATGACGCAACTTTACCATCTTATAAAGCTATTAAATTAATTATAGCAAAATGGATGGACATACTGCACACAAAAGTAGTCAAAATATCTCCAGGAAAAGGACAGCTCGGAAAACCTGGGAGCAGACGGACAACAATAGAAAGTGTAAGACTATGGTGTGGATTCAAGTAGCTCATTATATAGTTCAGTACAAGACCTTAGTGAATAGGGCAATGAAAATCCGTATTCAATGAAAGACGAGAACATGTTGACGAACTGACGAAATATGATTTTTTTGAAAGACCTTGCTCTACTGAGTTAAGGCAACTGTTGTGTTATTAATAGGTACCATTAAAAGATAATGTAATTATTATTATTTGTAGTAGTAGTAGTAGCATTATTATTTACGCGTAATACTCACATTAAAGTAATATCACGTATAAAGCATTTGTAGCGATGAATATTAATTCCCCTTGCTCTCAGACGTAGATTCTGAAGTATCATCAGCTGTCAAGGACCCCTGAACTAAGAAACTGGCTAAAGCTAGTAGACCCAGAACATGCAAGTCTTAACAGATAGCATTATATTTTGATGTTCCTTGCGCTCCAAGTATTTTAAAATATCTGCACAGAAACACCGTAACAAATATTTATAATGGAAATTCTTTCCACAAGGTCTGAAGGTCAATCAACATAAGTTTATCTTTTGACATTGAATACGACTGAAGGAATAATTATAAAATATCGAAATACGCTTATCGTCTGTCAACAGACAAACGGATATTCCACATATAAAAATCTAAGATGATATCTTAATCAGGAAAACATTTAAACCTAAGAAGTGTTAACACTATCATCAATTTAATATACTCTTAATATACGCAAAGTAAAGCAGACGTAAATTTGGAACTTAATATTTATTAAAACCGAGTCATTTGGGACCGCATAAAACATCAGAGACTGCCCCAAGAGGGCCGTACGCCCGGAGGTTTACACGCCTGGTTTACATTATGTTCAGGTGTCACATGAATTGAAGGGCCCCGGTGTAAATAATGGAAAAATCTTTCATAATTCGTTAGCGATACAGCGTCCCAAAATAACGTTTTGCGTAACATTTCCCGATTTGGGCCATAAACACACATGTACTGTTTTTTCTTCTGAACAATATTCTTTATCAATAAATTCTGTTTGGTAACTGCGACATCCGAGCCACGGCACGTGCGCAGTCTTGAAATCTGGGAAACAAAATCTGATTCACGGGATCAACTCTTTAAAGCCCAATGGTAACTATACATACCACTTGCTTCAATAATCAGTAACACTTTCCAATCACTTAATATTTACATTATAAACATGTTAACTGCACTTAGCCTATCATTTCAGTATTTAATTTAACAATAAAAGTGAATATGTTATCTGTGATTCTGGTTTTCATTGAATGCATAATGCCTATATACTGGCCTAGTTGTTTGTTTCGAAACTCCACGTCATGGTTATTTATCAGACGATAATTTTGAAATCAGAACATTTACGAGTCACGGAAAGGTCGTGCTCCATGAGCTCAGATGCAAACAGCTTTCAAAGATAGCTTCAAGACTTGGTCGTAAAAGTATGTAAGTGCCAAGAACATAGAATATAATTTTGGTGGAGTAAATAATTCTGGAACACCAAGAAAAGAAGATAGATTCTAGGCTATTCATGAACAGTGATTGATTTTCGATATTTTAAGTGGCAAGCATGTATTACGAGTCTGTCTTCCGTAAAGCTAATTTTTTAATATAAACGTTTTCCTTAATATAGCTTTTTAATGGTAACACAATCTTATCTGATATTTTGAATTTGTATAAATTGTTATATCTAAGGCCTATAACAATTTCAGTAGAGTTCTGAAGAAACAGATAAGAAGAGATAGCTGTCAATGGACCCACAATAAGTACCTACGGGGTGGATGACAGGAATTCGACTCCCGGTAGGGACAGGATTTTGTCTATTCGTCACCGCGTCCAAGCGAATCCAGGGCCCACTCAGCCTTATATCCAGTTGGTGCTTTGGGGTATTTAGTTGGACGTAACACAGCCGAAGCTTCTATCGTCGGCGTTACGAATGTGTGGAGCTCTATCAAGTTTTCATGGTGTGGTACCTGCTTAAACGTAATGACAACTTTGCCTTTTTATCTTAAAAAAATCATTAATTATTCGTCTGTAGCCTGTAGACGAACTGCGTGTGTCTAGTCCCCTCAATTAATCTCGACATGAACTTCACGGCACCGGAGAATTCCCTATATTAGTAATGTCTGTGTTTAACAGCACCAAACTGACGGCCATGTAAATTCTAGAAGTGGAAGGAACATTAGTGTCATTCAGTTTAGAATGTTATAAAGTTATGTACGTATATTTTATTGTAGATTGTAAATTTTTCTACTGTAAAGGAATAACAGATTTGTTTCTTCATAGTCGTGATTTGTTCAGTATGTCAATGCCATGCATAGATTACATATAAAAAATGCACTTTTATCGCATCGTGTTGGCCTATGACGTCAATTACCAGAAACGCAAACCACCATTTAGGTCGACTACGAAGTTAGCGAAAATTGCTAAAATATATTACGAAAGCAGTACCTATCTGTGTATTTAAAACAACGCAGTAACCACAATATCCGTTTCAATCGATTAACCATTAGCATGGAAGACGATAAAATTCCCACACTGTATCGCGGCTAGCAGTACAATTACCACAGCAATTACCATAGTAACGTCTTATCAGCAACAAGTGGTTTAAAGAGCTGTGTTACTCCTGGAGCTGTAGTGCAATAATACAAATTCGTGGCATTATATAACGTGAAGAAAAGCGGTCGATAAGTTTTTAATTTGTTCCAGCCAATTGCTGAAGTCTGAAGAATTACATCAGACATATTTATAACAGAATTAACAAATCATGTAGATAAGATTTATTTACTTCAGGTCCTGTGAAACGTGACATCGTAACTGTATAAGATTTGACCAAGTGCGATGTAAAAGCAAGTTCAGTGCTAAGGTGACATACGCGAGACTGTGCGCGCGTTCAGAGACACTCAAACATGAAATTTGTGTACCAAATTATTTTGTGTGTGACAATGGTCACATCCATGCATTTCACACCAGTTCAGGGTCAGTTATTTAATTTAGGGGTTTTGGACCGGATAAGAAACATCGTTCATGGAGTACTTCATAACACATCCAATCAACAGTCTCAGTACACTTCTAAACACTTCCCAACAGTTCAACCCTTAACGCAAGGTACACTGGCCTACATTCCAGTTTCTTCTGAAAGTGTTCAGCATCAAGGCGCAATAACCCAAGATTCAGGTAACGGAACTGTACAGGGTGTGCCAGAGAGCAGGAGCATGATACGAGCACCGCTCAGAGACGGAGGGTGTGAGACTGGCTACCGTAAAGTTAACGGGCAGTGCAGGAAGGAGTACGGACGACGACGAAGAAGGCGCTGATATTCAGGTGGGTCACAGCAAAGTTTCTCAACCCGTGTGCCGCGACATTTGAATTCAGGTCCATTAAGACGCATATGATGACACATTACGCGCGCACTGTAGTAAAACAGCAAGATCTGGTTCAATCCTGTTTCGTCAATGTTGTTCTTTTGAGTTCTGACTTCTTGTGGGCTTGTGGTAGATACCATCGTCACGAAGAAATACACTGTCCCCATCTTCAGCCCCGAAGAGGGAGTCAGTATGTTCTCTCCAAACGTTGGTATCTGCCTATAAGTCTACAAGGCTTCACAACTCAGAACAACATGGACATATTTACCGCAGTGAGAAATTTATATCTTATACAGCTCCATTTTGTCTTTAATTAATGTTCCTGCGTCCATATTTTCGTGTTTATTTTTATTTACAAATGTTTCATGATGCACATTTTCGGAACACATATTTTTATGTTAAAGTTTGAAAAGGTATAAACAAAGTATTTTGCTTTGATTTTGGTCCCTCTTAATTTTTTATGTTCGACGTATGTCTTCGTTGACCTTTGGTTTATCTTAATTGTTTATGTTCGACGTATGTCTTCGTTGACAGATATCTTGTTTTCGGTTCGTTTGCTCCTTTAATTAAACATTTTAGCTGCTCGAAAAGTGAATTAATAAGTTCCAATTAAATATATACGAAAACATTACTTCCCACTGAAAAGTTTAACATGGATTAAGTTTAATTATTAGATCGGACTTAACTATATGCTCCCCATACTGACTTAATGACTGACTGGCTGACTAAGTTACTAACCCTATGATGCGTGATCCGTATGGAAAAATTAATAGTTTTCTTAGATGGTCAAGAATTTTCTCAACTTTTAGGGAACTGCAAATGTTCCATATCAGGAGTTAAATAAATCCAGACCATATCCTCGAACCCTTTTCCTTGAAGACTCGCTTTAATATAATTCATCTTCACCTAGATCACCTCCGTGATCTTGGGTGTTCCGATTAACATTTTCTATATATTTATTATTTTTATGTCGTTCAGTTATAGACCCATTCAAATTCGCTGTTTAACAAGAGCTATATGTTGATACTAGACAAAACACAGCTCTTACATTAACAAGGCCACCGCCTGATAGCACGTGGAGTGACACGGAACTCGATGACCTTAGAAGCTCGGGTCAGTATGCTGCAACTTTCTAGTCATTTCTGCTCCAAACCAATACGCGGGTTTCACTGCGGACGTAGACAGATCACACGACCACCGTTTTTCACCATTATGCATGTTTCACCAACTGAGTTTATTGTACCTTGGCTTTCTTTAATTGTCTTCATAAAAGACTGTAACAGCGGTTTAGTGTGGAGAGTTCAGAATAAAGACTCTGGGGAGATAAATGTGTTCAACTCAGCAGAAGACGTTCACACAGACGACGTAAGTCTTGAAAATGACACTTTACAAAGTCTATTTGCTATATTTTCTCATTTAGATTTTAATACAGGATCCAGTGATTTTTTAACACCGGATCAAACTGGCCCATTATTTGAAAACAACAACTCGAGAAGACACAGTGTCTCCAGCATCAGCATATCAGAAGAAAATCCCGAACATTTGTTCAGCAATTTGTACGAAGATTTGACGCCATCAGACGTCAGCACAGCTCAGGAAAATACAGCAAATACTCATTACAATCAAAGATTGACCAATTTAGAAGAGACTTTAGGATCACAATTGCAGCGAGAAAACTTGGGGCATGAATTCTTTGCTGGCGAAAGTGAGGATATATCGAACGATATGGAATTTGATGAGACAAATAGAGCAATTTCCTGGGAATCTCTACAGAACACTGAGGATACGTTACTAAAATGGCCGGGGAGTACAAATATAGACCTATCACCAGAACAGGATAATTCAAGAGTCCGCGGTGAAGACTGGAGGATCACCTATCAACATCATACTGGTGACTGGTCCAGTGGTTATGAAAGATATCTAATTAATAAAATGTTGGATCAGGAGTGGTTTCCTTGGAGCTCTGACATGTCTTCAGAGAACACAAGTGAGGCAGACAAAATGGAATTTGCTTGTGTAAATAATGAATTGTGGGAAAAGTTTAGTACTACTGTACGGAACCGATACAAGGACTGCAAATTTACGTGTGACTATGAGGGCGTGTCTGAGGGAAATTCAAGATGGAAGCGCTTCATAATAAGAATTATGGGATGCAGGAAAGGTAGAAGACGTGTTAGAAGATCGTGCAGACTGGAGTGGGGGAAGTCTCGTAGAAATAAAACACATCCCACTGTTTAGCATTTGTATTTCAGTTGGTAGGGTAACTGACATGCACAATGGTTTTTGTGTTAATCATTCTTATGTTGTAAGCCATATCGAAAACGACAGCTCAGTAAAGTTAAGTGACTGGGAAAAAGGTGGGCGACCTTAATTAGATTTTAGATGGCATTGTAATATTTAATATATATTCTTGTATGATAACGAAAAATAAGTTTATGGTGCCATCATGGTTATTCCAATTATATATAATAACTTGTAAGCCAGAATGTTGGTTTTATACGAAACTTGGCATGAACATCATACCGCTGGAAGTTACCTTACCTGCGTATATTTTAATGTAATATAATTATTATATCAAAATGGACGTGTGCATTTCAGAAGCGAGACTAATGTAACGTCCTAAAAATTAGTGTGATAACAGACCGTCTAATAAATATGAAAATTATGCACTTAAGTTTTCTAAAATCTGAAACAAAATGACTGCCAAGAATCAACATTTAGCTTTCGGTTTGATGGATAGTAAAAATTAATCATTGGGAAAATATTGTATGGGGATCGATAATAAACATAACTGAAAGTACTGTCTTGTTTGTTAACAATTACGTATAGGGTAACGTTGAAAATATGAGAACAAAATACTTCTATTGCAAGAGCTACGTTAAAATGCAGACAGTGTAAGGTAACGGTGAAAATATGAGAACAAAATAATTCTATTGCCAGAGCTACGTTAAAATGCAGACAGTGTACTTCTCCGAAACTTTGGTACGTAACTACGACCCTATACAGCGTCACAACTCAGAGACATCATCGGGGCGATGACGAAGGCAGCAAGGACCTCTGAAACGTCCCTAAACTTCTATCACACTACACGGCGCAACAACCCAGAAGACAGCCATCTTCAGCCTCACCGCCGTGAAAACCTGAAATCCTACCTATTATTAATAATAATTAATTTTTTTAAAGTCTCATACATAAGTGGAACTATGTCAAGGCATCACAGGTTCATTAAAAGAATTTATTTTGTTTTCACGTGCAGATCGACTCATCCAGTGGGCTCAAAGACTTTTCCCCTGGGGTAAAGCAGCTATAATTATTATCCGTCTAGTTCCCAAGTTAAGAATGTGTGTAGCTTCACTGCCACGTCTCTTATACTCCTTCTTGTTAAAAAGTTTTTTCAGCATGACGATTAGAAACAGGGATAACTTTACATTCATACTTAGATAAAAACCCCGACGTTTCGGAAGGTATTTGTACTTAAAAATATCAATGCAGAAAAGCAGAAGATTTTGAAAGTCTCGATCTTATAGACAACAACGACTGTGCTTATAGAGTGAGAATATTTGTTATTTATTTACTCAAGGACAAATTTTGATGATTGTGTTATAATCTACACGCAAAACCTGTTAGTGGTCTTGAAACTTAACTTGAGGTTTTATAAACATAGTCCTCTAGTGAAAACAGACGGATTCTAATGCTGAACGCAATCTGAGCCTTATGAGGAGTTTTACTGCACAGAATGAAATTAATTATTATAACAGACTGAGCAAAACATCCGTAAAAATCGGTGGAAAAAACAGGATTTCAGGAAATTGCTCTGGTTCTGGAAGTGGAAGGGGATGTGGTACTTTTTCTTGCGCTGTGTACAGTGTGTTCCCTTAAATACATTAAGATGCTTCTGTACGGTGTCAACCTCTTAACAGCACATACTGTGGTAGATGACAGCCACGACCGGTTACATGAAGACGTACACGTAATACGGATATCTGTCTAGTCTTCCAGTTACACCGACAGGCGACAATCTGATCTGCCTTGTGTGTATCCGTAAAACTTTCCAGAACAAACGTACAAATTGTAACAATGAAGTGGAACACAGTGTTCATGTTGTCTGCATTGTTTCTCGTGACAATTAGTGGCTTCACTATAAAATCTGGTGTCGACCGGAAGTCAAATGATTTTGGTTCGAATGTTCGTGATAAAATTAATTCGAATAAAGTTATTAACAACAATGAAGCAGTCAGTAAATTTAAAAGAAATGAAGACAAAAGTCATGAATCAGCCAATAGCGATTCTTCGGAAATTTATTTTTCCGATCAAGATTATTATTACGATGATGATTATAATGATGATGAGTTTAATAATAACGATAATACATTTGATAAAGGTGAAAAAGGCGGTGACGAAAATGAAGAAGGTAATGATGATGACATAGATGATGATGTGTCTAAATATGCTTACGATTATACGAACGATGATGAAATTTCTGACGAAAATCATAACGAAAATAAACACGAAAGCGAACTGGTGAGAGTAATTAGGAAATACGTGTACGAACCGTCTGTAGTTAAAACCACGCATGAATATTACGATGATTCTAATGATAAAGAAAAATATGACAAACAATATGGCGCCGGTCCTGATGACAGTGAAGGGAAGACGCATGAAGACTGGCCATTGTTGGAAGACGACAATGGAGTCGTAGTTGTGGTGGATTCTGCCCAAGGCGTGCGTAGCCGTGAGCAACACGGGAATCAAAGGTGCTTCTTCGGTTGGTATCTGAACGCTAACGGCATATGCGCACCTCCTAGAAATAAATGTGAACCGGGGCTCGTCCACAACAATGCAGGGGAATGTGTCGGACCCGACAATGGCTACTGGTACAAGTGATAACAGGTGGGTAAAGGAGGAGTACCAGCCATCCCATTATTCTCCGATTAACCACTTTGACTACAGAAAACGAAATACGAATGTATTTTTTATCACAATAAAGACACTAACCCTTTAAAGCTCTGAACTTTAACAAACAATAACGCCAGTAACTCTGCACATTGTATTTATGGATTTGTTTATGATTCTCAGAATTAACAGCGATTAGTTTCCTAAACAGCATCTTTGTAAAAATAAAGTGTTGTGTTTTCTATGAGGCGTGAGCTGAATTTTTAAATATTATTTAGACAAAGTTCGTGTTTCAAAGAATTAACTGAATTGTTTTTTTTTTACATTTTGATTGTTACAGGTAACTTACGGAGAGCGCCACTGAATTCATCATTAATAGGAAATTTATTCTCTGTGACCTGAATTGTCCTGATAATTTTTATATTCTTCAGAAGACTTAAATTCTCAACATTTGTTTACAAGTGTGTTACAAACTTACAAGCAGGACGTTAACACAATTCACGATGACCATCACAATCTTGTGCGTATTTTGAAGTAAAACTCCTTATGTTTAATATTACGTTTATATTAATGAAAAGCCTGCAAATATTCATTCAAATTTGAACATCCACTATGTAACATAATAGTCATAATAAACTGAGTGAACTTATTTTTTACTGTTCTGACAATCTCTCGGTACAGTCACTGCCTATGCAGCTGGAGTTCCATTCCGAAAAATTACGGATTGTCTTCGACAATATATTCACGCTCCAAGCTCCCATCCATTGAATACTGAGGTTCCTTTCCAGGGGATAAATCGGCCGGAAATTAAAGTTGACAACTCGCCTCCATCAACCATCAAAATTAAAAACACGTGGAGTTTTACCATCACTTCCGCTTTCACTTTCATGGCGACGGACGGACGATCGATGAGGTAGATAGATTGAATCAATTAATTATACACCCACACACACAATATCTTTGTGAAAGGCTTTCAATATTTTTCTTCTAACCATATATCTCAAGTGGTATTTTTACTTCAGCATCTCTGGCTAAAATTTTGTATTTATTTTTCACGACTTCCATCCGAGGCCCTGTGTAGATCTAACATTTCGTAACAAGATGGTTCCTTTTTACGAAAACGGTTTGTTTGAGAGACGTTCAATTTCTAAGCTAGACGACCACCCAAAGCAGTCACTTACATTTTTGCACCTCCATACCCCCAATCTAAAAATTCGTACAACATTTTGACTGGAAAGCCTGAGGGGAAGAGACAACTTATAAGACTTTGGCGTAGATGGAAGGACAATATTGATTTTGAATTTTAGGAAAACGGTGTTTGGGATATCATAAATGGCTGTGAATTTCTTGATTAACTGAGCGTACTATTACGTTCTCGAGGTTTCTGCTCCAAGCAGTTAGCTTTCCAGAACGCTTATTATCAGGGCGATCACATCAGGAAAGAGCGGGACATTTAGCGCGCATGGGAGAGATGAGAAATACAAAATATTCGTCGGAAAATCAAAAAAGAGGAGACCATTTACAATCACTGGGTGTTGATAGGAAGATAATATTAAAAGGGATCTAAAATAAATATGGGTGTGAGAGTGCCAACTGGATTAATCTGGATCAAAATATGATCAAGTGGAGGGCTGTTGTGCACTCGCTGATGAAGCATCGCGTTCCATAAAAGCCAGGGAGTTACTGACCAGACGAGCGAATATCAGCTTCTCAAGAAAATTAAAATTTTGTGGCACTCTCAGACTAAAACAATGTCGGTGAAGGAAGTTGTGGTATTAAAGGGAAGTTTATGCCAATAGATAATTTTACGTGAAGCAACAAAGATCCAAGACTTCCGCCACTAGGCACAGCAGAATTTCAAGACCTTCCTTATTCCAGTGAACACACATGTGGTTACAAGAACGCTCCATAAATGCAATGTTTTGTTACACGGTCTTAAGAAACACAGTAAATTTTGTTTAGTCATTAAAGTGTTGACAATGCGATGCCAGTTAAACGTGTTAATTTTATTAGGTACTTCAAAATACCACATTAAGAAATTAAAAATGGTGTGTCAGATTTAAAATATAGTGCCAATTATCATTGTTTTGCGTATGTTTTTGGAAAATAATGTTTACTAAAACAATGAACATAACAGAACGATTCTCTGCTGCCAGTGTTTTGTTGATTGTTGGGATAGACATAATTCTGTCCATTTGTAAAGCGTCTGGATTCTTCGTGCTTGGTTCACCGTGGATTATTAACGGACCAACATTAAAACCACCCTGTTCTGTTAGGCGGCACCTTAATAAGAACAATAAATGTGTCGAAAGGTTCACAATCAAACCCAAAAAGACAAATCCCTTGTTGCGAGTTCAGTACACCTTGCACCAACACAGGAAACTGTCAAATGGAAAGAAATTATATCGCTAAAAAGAAGGAAACAACTTCAAAAGTGCAACCTGAGACCCACGCTGAACTGTTTAGGCATGAATTTGGTTCAGCGACAAGAATGAATTATTTGGTAAGAAGAAAAGCGATCGGAAATGGAAAGACCAACAGACCCAGTTATTAATTATAAATTGCAGGTAAGATAATCTATTATACATAAGTAACTCTAATTTTTTTTATATTGCATTCATATGGGCAGTTACCTCAAAATGTTGTCACATAAATTATATCCGTCTTAAAATTTAGCATTTTAAAAGGCCATTTCTTATTAATCGACGACTTTAATGATTATTCAGTGAATAAGTCAATTCGTCCCTGAAGATGGCATTACGTTTCTCCTAAATGCTTGTAACTACCTACAAGAATACAAGGTGACACATTCCAGGAGACCATTATTTCAACTGTCACAGCACTAAGAAACATTGAAACAACTGTGCAAAGAACCGAACAACTTTACGCAAGTTCCAAATGGACATGGAAAATCTAAAATTGCAGTAATAATAATAATACAGCTGAATAGTTACCATTCGCTTTACCTCTTGAAGAAAGAACAGCGAAAGCCATTGTGGAGGGGAGAAAACGTATCCTGCCGGGAATCGAATTCCAATCGTCCAGTCCGTAGCCTAGTCACTGCACCGACTAATTTTGCTGGCTCCTGAGAGGACAAAGAGATGAAAAAAATTAAAATAAAATTTCCAGGAAGAAGTAGAGTTCTAAATTAAACTGATCAGCTCAGAATACGGTCCAGCGATCGGTTACTGAGAACACGGTTTATGATTAAAGGGGAGCTGCGGAGAAACTAGGAGTATGAGCATACAAAAATTGTTAGGTTTTCGAGGAAGGCTCTGTATAATAAAGCGAACCGGCCAGTTACTATAGTGACAACGGCTGCTGCAGACGACTAATTGTTTGTAGGTCTTCGGTAGATGAAACAGATGTTCCATTTGCGGTTATAACACTTTTGTTGTGATTCCTCTGACATGAAACATTTAATTTTATTTTCGCGAGAACATGTGTCATTTTATCTCTTAGCAAAATAAGTATTTGCGTCATCTGACGGACATCCGCTGCTAGAATGACCTGCGAATTCTTTCGGACAAAACCGCACAAGGGAATTCCTATATCGTATTTTTATTGAAAAGAACGCATCATCCTTAACATTACCACGGTATCGTTACTATTATCATTATTATCATCTAACATAATCGATATCGTTCTTGTTCCTTATTCCGGAGGTCCAGTGTTTGAATCTGATAGCAGCAATGAATATCTTGATATTTTCCCTAGGTTTCCTCGGTCCGTACACACATTTTAGAACTGTGACTCAAGATAAGCTACTGTAATTTAATTTTGAAACTTTCGAATTAATAATTCAAAGCCATCCCACCTTGCGATACTCTATAGGCACTATCTAAGCATTTGAAAAGTATTACCGTAATTCAAACACTTGGTTATGGATTACGTTGCACAGATGGAACGCCACCTTAAGCTTCTATGGTGTGTCACAAAGTATGGATACACACATTCCCATCTTATCGCAATATTCTATAGATTCCATTACTCTGACAACAGTAGGTGATCTATGTACAAAACAAAGTTTCTTTTTATGCAATATCTTAAAATGCTGAATTACGTCATCGCTCTTTTTTACTTATCACGTTGTTTCAAAACACTTGCTACATACAGTTTCTAGTCTTGTGACTTATGAGACAGTCGGAAGAGTACTGTTCTCTGTGAATGCATTTTTTATATACAAACTTACGATACCATCAGTTCTTCTGTAGATAATGATTTCGAAAAAAACAAAACAAAAAAACATACGAGCGATATATTCACATTATTTAAGTGGATGGATTTTGATGCTAAGTTCAAAGTTTTGTTTACACGAATCAAGCTCTCAGTTTGAACCAGTAGGTGTAATGTGAGAGTTTACATTTCTTAGACGCCACGCTGCGTGGGAGATCAACACGAACTGCAAATATCCGTTGATCCAAAGAATGAGTTCCAGAACAGGAATATCTTCTTGTAGTGCCTTCATGTTGTGTCTCTTCTTCGGTTCTCTTCAGTGTTATTTAAGTTTGCCCCTTGGTTATGTCTATCAGTGGGGACACTACGTTTACTACCCTGCTCCATATATACTACTTCCACCACCGATTAACTCGTACGCGGAATGCTGCTGCTGTTATGAGTACGAAACTGAACAGGTGTTTCAAGAAAATCTGAAGGCCAGTAAAGAAGTCTCTTTCTCTGAAACAACAATTCAGATTACGTCAAAAGCAAACCTTCCAAGAAAACCAAAGACTAAATTTACTGCAACATTAACCACCAAATCAAAGCCTGACGCTTCAAGATCAAGTACTATTGGATCTTTACGAAAATCAACTATTAGATCGACAACAAAAGCAACCACAACGACAGCTCTAGTTTCTGAAATCTCACACGAATCGACTATTAAATCAGAAGCAGAATTAACTACTAAATCAACAACAAAAGCAGCTGAGACCACAACAAAAACAACAGAGTCTACAACAGAATCAACTACTGGATCCACAACAAAAGCAACTGAGGCCACAACAAAAACAACAGAGTCTACAACAGAATCAACTACTGGATCCACAACAAAAGCAACTGAGGCCACAACAAAATCAACTATTAAATACACAACAAAAGAAACTGAGACAACGACAGAAACAACAGAACCAGTTCTTGATTTTACTGAAAATAATTTTACCTTAACTACTGACGACGGAAATGAATACGTAAGTGAAAGACCTACTGGAGCATCAACAGAATCAAATGTTGAAGACAACCACACGTTAATTACTGCGCCGGAGATGGAATCGACAACTGCAAGTTACTCGTTGATAACCAGTGACCTTACTACACAATTCAGTGTGGACGTCTCCACTCAATATGAAGAAATGACGCAAAGTGAAGACTTGGAAATCCCTGACGTTGAGCCACAATGAGTTATATAGCACGTAAACGGTGAAGAAAATACACATGAATGCTAATAATTTCTCAGGAGATACAATCTGATCGAGGTAATCAATTTAGAATTATCAATAATAATTTAATGTAAATGTCAGTCAAAATTATGTTTCAAATTATTTTACGTTTAAAGCACAAAATTGTCATGACGTTAGGGTGATCACTAGACTTTGTCTTCTCTGCAGTTGAACCAATTACAGACAATTCCAAAAGTTTATGAAGTTTGCTCATATCACTGGGATATGACCTTTGTCATATGTTTTATAATTACATTCAAATGGTAGCTTCAAAAGCAGTTTATAACGTTTAACTTTTAACCCGAAGTATAAATACACGACTTCGAAATCAAAGGAAAGTAGCCCTACATCTATCAAAGTAATGTAAATTTCATAAATATATTTACAGTATTAAGTCTTAGAATATTATAAATAATTCAGCCAAATAATCGATACCGGCAACAATAAATTAACATTAGGCCATAAGTTTTAAGCAAAATGGCATCTCAGACTAACAAACATCACTAAAAGGTATTATTTCAAATTAATATGATTTGACGTCTCACGGCGACCAGAATACAGCAAAATCCTTTCGGGCGATCGGTTGAATTAGAAATGAACCTTTCGGATAAATGCTGTATATCAATTACCAAGGTAGATCCTGATGATGGAGAGAGCAGGGTCTCCAAAACTTTGCTTTTATAACAGAACTTGACGCGGTTGTACACAGGGGATGAGTTTAGTTCATCATTTTAGACCACTTGCTTACTTATAAGTATTTTTTTTATATCAGACCAAAACAAACCAAAATAAAATTACATCCACACCTTTAGAACAAATCTGACTGCCATCCGTTCTGAATTAAAACATGCGGACAGATGGACATGCACGATCTCTATATGACTTTACGTTTGGCAAATAATTATTAAATTATCCTGCATAGTATAAACCCTTTTATTGGTATTCTGTATCATTTTCAGCGTCACTTGACATAAGTTCAAAGCATTATCTTCATTTCGCAAAATTTCCATTTCCGAACATTTATCACCAGATGTCATGAACTTTCAGTCAGACTATTGCCTGTCAGAATCTCTTTGGAATGACCTCTTGGTTTCGGGTATCAGCATCATACTTATAAGGGATAAATAATTGGTCGAGGGCATTTATATCAATACAAGATTAAAATAAAATAGAACAGATTAATATTATTTGCGATTGGTTACTTCAGTGATTTGAAGAATTATATAATAGGCCTGAGCATAATGACCTATATAATAACGATTTATATTACTGTATCATTTTAGCGTGTTCACTCGGAAATTCTTCAATACTGTTATAGAAACTATTCTTGTGGTTTAAAATACATATAACATAGTGATTGAAATGAGTGTTGGTCGATATACATTTCTAGCCGCATTTGTTTGTGCAGTTTTAATTATAAGACAGAAAACAATATTTTCAGATGGATTTATGATACCCCCGTACCAATACCACGGTTTTATGGGTGGGAACTACTTCCCGTGTAATTGGGGGTACAGTTACTGTTCCTATATGCCTCAAGATTATTATTATTATGATAACGGATGTACAGATGGCTGTGACTATGGTGCAGAGGGATGTTCTCCTTGTGACCCTGAACCACCATGTTTTCCTGAACATCAAAGTGGTACTGAACCACCAAGTGGTACTGAACCACCAAGTGGTTCTACACCACCAAGTGGTCCATCAAGTTCTCCTGCACAACCAAGTGTCACTACAGAAGAAAATGATTCTCTTGGATTTGATGGAGTAACTGAAGCCCTCATAGATCACAGAACTGACGTCAATGAGGAAGAAAAGGAAAACGATATAGAAGAGGAGGAGGAAGAAGATGAAGACGAAGAAGACGAAGAAGAATATTATAATAACAATGACGATAATGATGATGCATGATAGAAAAGGAACGGAAGCCATCTTGCGGGATTGTCAAGTAGGTAAGTTTTGGTACTATATCACAGTATCTGTAGCCAACATGAAGTAGTGTAATTTCTTTAATGTGAACAAATAATAGCTAAGTCTTGTGGATGTGCGTATATTTGAATGTTTCATCTTCAGAACTCTCTAAATGAAATACAATTTCGTATAGGAGTTACACGCTGAAAGTTATAAAGCAAATTTAATTATGATTGTTATCACTTCACTGTGAGGCTCACTTTACTTTATACTCTAATCGATACCTGTCAGTATTTAAAAAAATATCAATCGTGGCACACAATGTAACATATATAATTAAAGAAATATTTAGAGAAAAGGTGTAAAATGAGAAGAAGCAACGCACGGCGGCGTGTACTGCAATTATATGTAACTGATTAGCCTAAAGACTTCAGATTTTTATTTAAAAAAAAGTTAAAACCACCACTAGAAAAAAAAAGTGCTTTGATTTTGCTTCAACAGCAGTGTGATAGATTACAAATTACATAGGAACTGGAAAACTATAAATAAATCTTTGAAAAGGTGACGTCTGTTCAATGTGGCCTAATCCTAAAATCGAATGAAGACGAAAGGTCGCCGGACACTCAGTGTATATGGACACAGAAAGGTTAACTACAGTCTTAAAGTCTGGAACATAAATATTGAAACAGCAGCCTAAAAAATGCATAAAAACTGTATATTTAAATACATTCTTAGTCCAGCTGGGTAATAGGGAATTAAAGTTATTGCAAAAGTGATTATTATGCAACAGGTTTTTTTATTCTTTGGGTCAATATTTAAACGCGATTTTAAGTGTTATATTGTTCATACATATATTTATTCTTCAAGTCTATACACAAACCATTTTAATATTGATGTTAAAAATTAAAATTGATATAAATATTTCGCGCTATTCATCGTTTCCTCGATGTTACAATTTGCGCTATATATTACAACATGTTTCGATGTCTCAGCATCATCTTCAGGTTTTATTTTTAAAACTATTCTATATTTTTTTTAATGCACGCTTTTCAGTAATTGTAGATTGTAGGTTGTAGTTGTGGATGTTCCTTTTATCTTCTGATTCTTTTGCATATTATGTGGCGTATTATGTTAATTGTTCATTATTTCTGTGAAATTATCAACAATATAATTAACATTATTAATATTATTTATATGTAAATGAGTTTGGATATTGTTATGAAAATTCACTATAAACATAGAAACACAATAACATACCATATCAATTTTAATTTTTAACATCAATATTAAAATGGTTTGTGTATAGACTTGAAGAATAAATATATGTATGAATTGAAAACACAAACATGACGCATCTAAACTATAAACTTAATGTTATATTGTTGTTTAATTTTTAGTATCTGTTACAGCCATTTTTGTTCCGAATCCAATGTATTTTCTTTTCTTTCTTTCTTTCTTTGCGAATTCTATACAGCATTGCACTAATATATTTATTTATTTCCGTCTATACACAAACTTAGTTGTTAAAATTGGTGTTATTAAAGCTAAACTTTAAAATTTGGCGCTCATCATCGCTATTACGATGTTACAATTTTAGCGCTCATTATTTTATTTCACAACATGTTTCAATGCAACTGCATCATCTTCAGGTTATTTTCGTCTTTAAAACTAATGTATATTTATTAATGCAACTATCATTGATTTGTTTGTTTTGTAGTTTTCATTTTTGTAGGTTGTTTCTTTTTGTTCTTCGTCGTGTTTTGTATGTTTTAGATCAGTCGTTCTGTAGTCTGTGAAACAATTAATTGACATTCGAATTATTAATTATTTATATGAAAAAGAGTTTGGAAAATAGAAAATATTTATAAAATATAGAAATATAAGATCCATACCAGAGTTGTGATGAAAATGAAAACTACAAAACAAACAAATCAATGATAGTTGCATTAATAAATATACATTAGTTTTAAAGACGAAAATAACCTGAAGATGATGCAGTTGCATTGAAACATGTTGTGAAATAAAATAATGAGCGCTAAAATTGTAACATCGTAATAGCGATGATGAGCGCCAAATTTTAAAGTTTAGCTTTAATAGCACCAATTTTAACAACTAAGTTTGTGTATTGACGGAAATAAATAAATATATTACTGAATTAAACACAAACATGACGCATTTAAACTATAAATTCAATAGCATTGTACTGTCTTTTACATTACGGAGAAAATTTATCTATGCTGATAATTCGTCAGTATGTACTGAAAGCATCAAAATGAATTAACATAAGGGATCCGATGGGCAGGCAGTTCTAGGAGGATCAATTTCAGTGAGTCCTAAGCACTTATAGTTAAAATACGAATTTATGGAGTAGTATTAAGATTGTTATTAATATGTGATTATATTTTGATTATCACTATTACTATCATTATGCTCAGAACTGTTACTGAATTTGCCTCTGAACAAACAAAAGTATCTGTGATGTTTATATACAACACCATTAACAATGTTACCAAACGTTAAATATTATGTATCAATAATTTCCCCAGTTACAGCAAAGAATATTTAAGTTTTTGGTATAGCATTCTCTCAAGTCAGAAATAATACACTTTAATGACAGCGGAAATTTTATAAAAGATCTTTATCTGCTTCACATTGGATCCCATTTTACAGTGACCACCTGCGGAAGTAATTGTCTACCCATTGTACAAATAATCCCAACCATTCCAATCATTCGCTTGTTGACAAGTGTCATGTCGACAGATGTGTTATCGGCGCAGTTCAGCATGACATACCAGGATCTCGGCGTCAAAGTTCAAGCAAACCAACACTCAGTGAGAAAAATTATACCCTACACATGGTCAGAACCGGACCAGTTATTGTTTGTGGTGCCAGTAACTGAAAGTGTTTTGACACATTGGGATGTTATGTAACAGAGAAGTGTTTATGAACGCAACGCAAAGACATCTGGTCAGGTTTGAAGCGTGTGGAACTTCGTATTGTACCTTTCATTAGCTGTAATTTGGACTATGGACATACAAGTTCAGTAACGGAGTTTACTTTTACCGAATGTTGTGAAACGAACGTCGTAATAAGGTTAGGAAAAGTGTTATCTACATTGTAACAATGAAATTACTAGCATGTTTGTCATTTAATTATGTTGGGTTGGTGTTGCTGACACTGAACAATGGTGCGTATAATATACCTATTTCTGGAGAATACTCATTATACGATTCTGACAGTGCAGAAGATGTAGGACTGACATTTTCAGACTGTATAGAAAGTGAAGATTGCATGAAACTCTTCACAGACAACGGAAATAAAGTTGGTAGGATTATTGTCGACTTAAACACCAAAAGCAATTGTACAACTGAGGTAAATACCGATAAAAATGCGATGCCAAACGATGCACAAGTTTTAACTCGATCAACAGAGAAGAAACTGAATAACAATACATATAATGTAACATCTACAACAGAAAGAAATTATGAGTTTAATGAGGTTGTTGAATCCGAAATCAACGGTTTAGTGTCTTCGAATGTTTTTAATAACGACATCGATGAACTGGTTTTTGAGAAAAGTGACGCCATTGACGGCCATGTTGGAGTCTCATTAATCGATGACGTTCATTATGAAGACATACCAGGAATTTTAATAATATCTATTGTAAATTACGATGGCGAAACTCGTGATATTGATTTGGGAAATGCAGCTGAAGTAAGTGGTGATGAAATTACACTGGACTTCAACAGCGCTGTCCAAGCTCTCGCGGATTTCATAGACAACATGTCTTCAGAAGATGGTATGGAATGGACTGAAGATAGTGAATTTGAAGATCCTCACCGAATTGTGGAAGACGGTTACATTTTCTACGATATGGGTAAGATTATATTTTATACATCTCTTTTTTTCCTTCATTTTCTGATCATCAACTCCATACACGGTTATGTAAGAGAAGGAAACTTTGTTATTGCGACATTTCGTGATACAGGCTGTGTGCAGCGTTTTAATAAGAGCGACTTTTCAGCATTTATGGCGCCAGGTCACCCTGATATAGTTATCTCAGTTGCGATAGTTTCCGTACTACAACTCGCATAAGGAAGATCCCCTTTGTGTCATCAGATTTGGCGTTAAGTTGTGGATGTTACATTAATGAGAAAATAGCTTTAAATTGGGTTATTGTAATATCATCAGATTCGGCGTTAAGTTGTGGATGTTACATTCATGAGCAAATAGCTTTAAATTGGGTTATTGTAATTTTTAACTTAATTAAAACTAAAATAATGGTGTAATAATTTAAGTTTGCAGACTATCTGGATATAAAAATTTGATAATATTAAAAAATTTTGCAGTACGTATTCGCTTTAATACTAGGATTTAACCGCAAATAAATCTGAAAATCATTCAGCACGCTTAATCATAAATAAGTTTGGAGATTCCTGGGGAAGAATTATCTCAATAAAGGCTTCCTCTATTTTTTTAAAATTTAGATTAGATTAAACAGTAGTCTCAGTAGACACAAGTATCCTGAGAGGTCCAACAGAAAACTAGGTTAAACTGGAATGTTCCCACTTTAATATTATTCTTAGATAATAGTGTAAAGTAGTTGGCCGGCGTTTCTACTAATAAAAGTTAATTAAGGCATGAGCTACAAATTTAGGACAAATTTTAATAATTATATCACATAATACAATAAAAATGTACACAGTGGAATCACAATTAAACATAAAACGTCTTCTTTATCAGAAAATGTCTCTATTCCTGGGAATACAGAATGAATAGCAATGTTGAATTATTTCTAACAAACGGAAAATATCTAACGTAGAATGAGGAACTTAAGGAAATATAAAATGCATAAATGTTTGTTTTGTGTTCATATTAATCTCTTCCGTGGGTGCTCTGTTTCCTGGAATTTGTGTGAAGATGACACGCTATTAAAATGAGAAGTCTTCAGACGAACTCTTCGAAATATTAGGAAACGATTTTTTAAAATTGTAAACTGAAGAAGGTACTGGTAAATAAGACAAAGACTTCCAGGACTGCAGAAGACAATTAACACGGATTAATAATCTAGCAGAGCCTATATTTTGTGACTGTCCAAGAAAGCAAAGAACTGAAATGTTCAGGAAGTCGTAAGAAATTTAGTCACATTGATTTCAAAATTGTTTATTGACCTTGATAAAGTACGGCTTGCAAGAGCGCGGTCCGGGATTACAGTCGCAGGGTCATACCATTCATTATCTGCTAAGGACAACCAACCACCACGTGACGACAACGTAACTGTTCGCATGTCCAGATTGACGCAAAGTTAGAACTGTAATCAATCTGTGGGGACATCCGATGTGATCCCGAAGAGGCGAAGCTGGAAGACACTCGAATTACTTTTATGACAGATTGAAGTCTGGCGATTATGATGTCCAGGTCATACGGGAGATATAATTTTCATTCAAATTTATTTGTAATTGTAATCGTTCTGTGCATCTGTGTCTGTGTAAGCAGAACCACTTCA